GTTTTTGGTCTCTGGTTTAAGCAAGCCATGCATATAGCTAGGAATAGTCTTGTGGATCATATAGAAAAGTATACACCATTGCATACCAACATTTTTGTCTACCCTTTTGTTGGGAATTAGAGATTGATGTTACCTTCAACATAATGTCATAGGCCTTGCTGGAAAGAAAAAGAGGGAAACATTGTGAGCGGAGAAAAAAGGAAATTTATTTTCGGTTTAATGTGGGGATGGATAGTTTTGCCTTCAGGAGTAAGTTCATAAATGTAATCTATATCTCGAATCTCATGCTTAACCCCTTTGATTTGAGAAAGTAACTAAAATAGTTAAAAGTTTCATTTTTTAGCATTAAAAATATATTTATTTTGGGTGATTGAATTTTTGAAAGTGACTCGTAACATTTTAATCAGATATATGGAATCTTCCATATCATGCATGCTCCTAAATAAATGTATTTCTGAGGGAAATTTAAGCTTGTTACTATTGCTGATCAATGAAAATCCTAGAAAATGTAATTAAAGTATCAGACTTTTATGATGTTTAACCATCCAGTTCTCTGTTTATGCAATTAGGATATAAATAAAAATTAAATCATCTTAATAAGCAGCAGCCTCTGTATGTACCAACATTTCTTAGTCTATCATCTAATCAGCATGACAAATGAAATGAAAACAAATTAAGTCCATTCATATGAATTAAACACACACTAATGAAAAAGGAAAGGCAATTAAATTGATTCATAAAACTTGAAATTTATGTCCCAAATTACCAGTTATAATGTTATCGGTACTTTATATTTATTTATATTTAGAGAGTACACACCTAACCTTCAAACACATATAGAACAATGCCGCTAGCATTATATCAATGCCCTCGACATTTACGCAGTCATTGACTGTAAGCTTCAACAAACAGGCCACTTCATCGGCTTGCTGCTGCAGCGACCTTCGTGCATGTTCCTTGAGCCCCATCGATCTCCATGATCCTGATAGACTCCTGGCTGCCGTAACTCCTTGAAATGGACTGTGATTTGCGGTGAGCAGTGAATGTGTAGATGAAAATAGTATATGCGAGTAAAAAGCTACGTTGTAAAGAAAAAACATTGGTAGATTAATATGATAATAATTATCAGATAATATAACATTCCCATTATAGGGTTTATAGTTTGAATTCGAATCCTATCTTTCAACTCATTTTTAAAAAATTTATTACTATAACAACAAGAACAACTTCGGGCCCTTATTTTCTTGTCAGTATGATAATGCATGGTTCAGTAGCGGCTTTAGCTTTAAAACATCCAGTGCATGCATGAAATAATCACCTTGCATAGCCAACTACCTCATACGTGCCACAAGCATATATATATATATATATATATATATATATATATATCTAAAAACAGAAACATATAACATGGGCATAAGTGTCTTTACCTAATAATTGATATACATATAGGAATATGAATGCGCATACAAAATTTACAGATATGTATAAACTTATGTCAAGAAACATACGTACTTGGCATGCTAACAAGAAAAAAGATGGGAACCTACTTAATATTTTGCAAAATGAAAGTGGTTTCCATGGAGCTCGAAAGAGGGAGATAAAGAAAAGGAATCAAAGGTTAAGTTTTCTTTAATATCAAAATATTTTCTATAGCTTTTACAGAGATTTTTTTTGGAAACAATTTCACATAATAATTTATTTATTATTTAAAAATTATTTTAATAACGATCAATACAATTGAAATGTATATTATTCATATAAAAAAAATTTAATTTTTTGAAATTATATTTTTTTAACTAATTATGTCATATCAAAATACATAATAAATTATTATTTTAATTAAATAAAGGAAAAACATTCAATTTCACATATCACTAAAGTTACTATTGCTTATACCATATCTCCGCAACTCTCGTACCGTGATGGCCCCATAGGCATCTTAACCTCTATAAATTCGTGTAAAGTTCAAACTGATATTAAATATTATTATGCATATTTTTTACTTCTTCTTTTCTTTTGAAATTTTAGAAAACGTAATCATGTAACTCATATTTTACTTATAAAATCATTTCTTATATTGATGACAAAATAATTGTGTATGAATAATTTATTTGTTTGATTCTCTTAATCAGATAGAAAAACTGTCATAGTAATTTTTTATTATTATTTTTTTGAGATAGAATGAGAGATATGATTTAATTATTTTCGAAACTATTTTGGTTTTAAATGGGTTAACAATATCTAAACTTTTAGCTAGCAAGCTAAAACTTCTATTTATATTCTTTAGTCATTTAAATTACGATTATTTTTCTCTATTTTTGGATTTCTTCGCATAATAAAAGAAATTAAGAATTTTTATTTAGACTTTAACTATAAAAATGTTGTTTATAATAGAAACAAAATACTTCCTTATTTTGACAAATAATTAAGTAAAATAATTATGAGATCATCTAAATGCAGTAATCTTCATCATTTATAATTTTTTTAGTAAACTAATATATATAGCGAATTTGTACAAGATATTAATTAGAATTTATTTTTCAACGTAGAAAAGCAAAGAAACTATTAGATTAAAACTCGTTATTTTTATCATCTTAAAACATAAATAAATAGAATATAGTTTTACTTTGTCGATAATCCCCAAGAGAATAACTCTTGTAAAATGTTGAAGTGTAAAACAATACTTTTTGCATCATACACCTAGGTCGGAGCAGCTGGAATCCTTAACAATATTATGACACAGAGAAGATCCTTCCCTAAAATTCTCAAAAAATAAATTTACATAAAAGATTATTGAATAACACGAGTTCCACTGTGCTAAGAAGAAACTGAAGATTTTCCATCAATAAATTAAACCTAGTAAATCATTTTTGCAAATCTAGTCAAAGAGCATAACTTTCCTTCTTTGCCTTTTCTTTCTCAGTACACCAAACTCCATATCACAAGTCAAATAAGCCAAAATAACATTAAGCCATTGTTGATGACGTAGGAGCCAATACTACAAAATGATTAAAGTAACACCAAGAGAGAAAAAGAAAAAGAAGTCACTTCTTGCAAAACCATTTTTCAACATCTTTGCTTTTTCAGTTTTCTGATTTAGAAATCAACTTATTATGTTTGGTAAAGAATTGATTCATCCTTCAAATTCCATCACATCAAGGCTGCTCATATTTTTTCTTATAACCCTTTAGTTCTTTGATTCTTTTCTTCGTAAGCTTTGTTGTTACCTTGTTGAAGCCACGTAACACAAATCTATAGTAATATTTTTCAATCATTGACCACAACCCTCAGTCTTGATCATTTATGAGAATGACTGAAAGTAGAAAGGAAGCTCATTATCTCATTTCAATATCCCGACATAGACTTTATCAGACCACACCTGTACGAAATTACGAACATCAGATAGATGCCATGAGCTAAATACATAATATATTTTGCATATGGTATATAAATCAATAGCAGACCAAGGAGGGACTACCATCGATCTTTATGATGTTTGTTGTTTTTGGTAAAAGACTGTGTTATACTAGAAAATATCAAAACTTTAACAAGGCCATCACTCTAACAAGTAATGCATGTGTTAGAATATAACTGGTATAAAGTTCAAAAACATACCAGAAATCATCAATCTTTTAAAAAAAAACTTATAGCACAAGGATGTATATCACGAACAACACTAAATTGTTATAAATTTCTTGCGCTACAAGTTTTTTTAAAAAGATTGATGATTCCAGGTATTCTCATAAAAACTGTGGGTCTTGTAGTGTTGATATATACACTATTGATGCAAGGGACTAACCAGTCTATCAACAAAGATAAAATTTATTGTATAAAAGTAATTACAGGTGATTTACAAAGCTATCAAATGTCGAATCAGTATCCTAATCCACATGTCTTGGTAAATTTGGGAAACTGAAGTACTAGTTTCCTCAGGCAAGCATAAGTGGGAGCATTACTATGTGACGATCCAACTAATCATTTAGCTTCAGGAAAGAGCTAGAGTTAGATCAAAATTGGATTAGGAAAAATAGACTGCAAGAATTATCTATACTAACGATTCAAATACCCAAATAATGCATCCTTTCCTGATCAACTTCTCTAAAATGATGCTATAATTAATAATTCGGGTTTACATTAAAGCAAATAATAAATGTTCCCAAGATTTCAAACTCTCAGAAGAGGTCTGGCCAGAATTGCATCTTATAGTACCAAATGAATTCAATACAATTCTACTTGCTAACCATGTCATTGTAGTGACTCTATTTGTATTTCTTTTTATTGAATTCTTCATGATAATTAGTATTTAAATATACATATCTTCAGTCTCTTAGCACTACTTTCACACAATCTGATGCAAACTTAATTAATGAGAGAAACTAACCAATTTTTTCTACCTTCTCATGTTAAGATTAACAATGCTATATGTTGCAAAAACTTCTTAATCAAATTAACAAGTTGTTAATATATAATTTGATCAACTTGCTGTATATAGCATTGCTAATATATTGCATTAGTTTAAGGAAACAAGCCGTAAAACCATAATGAGTTTAAGGACATGCTATATATTGCAACAATTTGTTAATCAAGTTATATATTCTTCTCCATGAAACCGGAACAAGCCATGGATTAGCAAAATGGAACTATTGTCATTTGTTTGGCCGCATTGAGTAATAATGTCTTGAGCACCGAAAGTCAAGCAATTGATTATAGGGTAAACCATTGAACCATTCATGTAACGAAATTTTTGCGAACATTGAAGAAAAACAGAAAATGAAGCAACTGTACTTCTATTATTCGACTTTACAAGCTTTACATTATGCCACCTTTGAAAGACCTCTCATTTGTAACTAGACAAAAGACAAACTTGCTAACACCATAAAGACACTAGACAAGAAGACCTTAAACGAAACAAAGCGGTAAGATTAACAAAACTAAAAGTCAAGGAAGTACTAAGACTTCCTTCTACAACCTGTACCTATGGATCTAAATTAAAACCTGAAGTTCACCCCAAAAGAAATGTAGAGATTACCCCCTTCTAGAGTCCTTTCTCTTCAAAAACCATTGTTGTCTGCTAGAGGAAGTTGGTTTCAGCTAAACTTGAGGTCTCAGCATCCCATCACTGTACAATTGTACACAAAACTTCCTGAGCGTTTTGATGCAAGCAATTCCCATTCAGGAGGGCCTTCAGTAGGGATCCAACTGTTGATCTCAATGATTCCTCCACTCCTAGTATGATGTCCTCCGATAACAATTAGACGATCTCCACAGGCCCTAAATGCCAGTCCCCAGCCATTCATTGAATATGCTCGGGGAGGCAATCCCCCGAGTGTGATCCACTCATTCCTCTGTTTGTCATATTTCCTTAACACCTTTTCTGCATAATCAGCAGCATACAGCTCATTCTTTACAACCGCAAGCAAAGGAGGAGCACAACCTGCAGCAGGTGTGTTTGATGCTCCTTTCAGTGGAGGGTACATGTTAGGTATCTCAGTCCATGTCTTTTTCTTTGGATCATACACCTCAGCACAAGGAAGCAAATCTGGATTGTCTACCCCCATTCCACCAAGAACATAAAACTTCCCATCCATGAATACAGCAGAACACAGTTTCCTTGCTCTGTTCATACTCGGAATAATCTCCCACTGCCCAGTTTCGGAACTATAACGTTCGGCTGAGCTCAAAATCTTGCCATGTGGATCACAGCCACCAGCCAGAATTCCCATTTCTCCAAGACTGGCAGAGCCAAACAAACACCTGGGTGTATTCATAGGGGTGCCATATGACCATGTGTTGGTCAAGAGACAGTATCGGTAAATAACTAGGGATGTTATTTCTCTTCCGAAAACAAGAACTTCAGTACCAACTGCCAATGACTCCTTATCTGAAAACATGAAGCAGTCATTCGAAATCATCTTTGGCAAGTACATCCAGCGACCACGGTTGGGATCAAAAGCTTCCCATTCAGGGAGATTGCAAGAGAAGTAAACCCAGTGCTCTACCCGCCCAATCTCTCTCCTCAGCCTGTAGATCTCACCACTCTTGATAAGAGAGTTGAAGCTCTTATTCAGTAATGCAACAGCGCCATAATCAGACCTGGAGCAATGAAGGAGACAGTTGATGGACATATCTCGGCCAAGTTGGTAGATGAGTTGACTGCAATCGCCCTTATCCTCATTTTCTTGAGACTGGTTCTCTGCTTCACCAGCCTGGGAAAGCAATGCTGGTTCTTTCTCACTGGCTTCACCTTGCCTGCAAATCTTCCTGTCTGCATGGTCTTTTCCTCCCTCCATCTGATACTGCATACCTGTCGAGAGTTCAATGACACAATGAGTATTATGGTTTACTTAGTTTCTTGTTCGCTAGAGACTGGTAATTCCCTGGAGATTAGAAAAATGGTCCCTCCATCATGCTGCATTGATAATGGAAGACTTCTTCGTCATAACGGAAATGCAAAACCAATCAGTTAGCAGGGCAAAATGACACTCTTATTCAGTAAAATAAGCGATCAAAGAAAGAACCACAGCAAATATTTTGCACAGTGCATGAATCCCCTATAAATTCAGAGGAAAAGAGAAAAAGAAAACGACCCAATCAAATCCTAAAAAATACAAATCCGGACCATATCGATTCTCATAAATTCAAATCTCGCCAACCTGATACATAAACAAAAACAGAAGAATGCTACCATTTTCGTTTTCGATTACAAGAGATCATAAACTCTATCCATCATTAAAAACTCTGCAAGAGAAGTGTAATCCAGTAGCGAAAACGTTCAAAAGCAGCAAAACCTCAGAAACAAATAAAATTCTGAGCAGAATAAAACGAAAAGAAGTGAGAGCCCCCACCAACCGAGAAACGAGAATTACGAAAATCGAACTTCGATATTCATATCAATGCAGGTTTACAGAAAGAAAACAAACTTATCAACTGTGAAATCCCATGCGAAACGATAATCAAAATCACAACAGTAGAACCGAAATTCAACTCCCCGAAAAACAGTTTTCCCTCCAAAAAATAAAAGAACACAGAAGCACAGAAACGAAGATGAAACCATCATCGAAATCACCAACATTCGACGATAAACCGGTTTCTTCGTTCCCGATACAGAAGAAACGGATTCTCTTCCCCCGATATCCAAAACACGCGAAACAGAAACAGAAAAGAACGAGCATATAAAGAGAACAGCAAGATAGAGGCTGGCAAAGAGCGAGAAGCAGGAAAAAGGAGAACAACTCACGAATCGTACAACAAAGAAGAAGGAGATTTTGCTTGAATGGTATATGAGAATTGAAAATCAAAAACCAAATTGGCGTTTCTTCTCTAACTAAATTCTCTCTAGTTTCTCTGGTAATCTGGGTTGAGAAATGAGCGAGTATTTTTTTTTATATTGAAAGTTGGGAGAGTTAGAGTGGGTTTATATAAGCAGAGAAAATATTATTTTAACGTGAAAAAGACCAGTGGGGTCCACAACCGCTAAGAAGGGTTAGGGGTAAAATCGTCAAATCGGTTCGTGAAATTGCGGCCTGGCCACCAAAGGAGAGAGTCAGTAAAAACTGAAACCGCTAACGGCCGTTTCTGCACGTGTTTCAACTTTCAACTCCACCCCACGCTTTGGACAGGTCAGCACCAAGCCCTCTTTTTTTTTTAACCTTGAAAAAGGTAAATAAGTTAATTTAACAATTAAGAATATATTTTTTTATTAAAAAAATACAAAAAAAAATTTTACATCTTTTTTTTTTCAAACTATTCTTATTTTATAAATATTAAAAATATATATTTTTATTTAAATAACTAAACTACAATATCACATGTTAGAATTGAATTTAAAACTAAATTTTTATACATTATTAATAAAAATTTAGTAATTAGTGAATTAAGGTTCATTAATTCATGTGTTTAATTAATAGTCCCTAAATTTAATATCTTAATTCATAGTTAAATAAATTAAATTTTTATCAATAATTAAAAAATTATTCGAATCTTGATCGATCAACAAAAAGAATATACGAATCTTTAATGTCTAAATAACTAGATAAAACTGTTACTTTTTTTATTTTATAACATAATTATATAAAATTTGTCGTTTTGTATAATTATAAATTATCGTCGGTTTTTAATTTAATTAAGTGAATATTTTGTTAATAAATTCTACTAAATTATGTAATCATATAATAGAATAAACTAAAATAAATAATTTTTTAGACGCATCGATAATTTTAAATTGAAACTTTTGTAATTTACTTAACTGATGTTAGATATTTTTTAGAAAAAAATTGGTTTCAACTATTATACTTTTTAATATAATGATGTGTTCTTATCATCAAAACATAACATTTTCAGTATGATGTTATGCAAATATATATATATATATATATATATTGGCTTTTTCTAGAAGACAAAGATGAATGATGTTCCTTCATCCATATTATGAATTATGGAGATATATATATATATATATGTATAAACATATATGTAAAAAATCCTAACTCTTATTTTGCCAAAAGAATCATAGCTATTGAAATATATATATATATATATATATTAAAATATGTTTTTGCAGCATAAGAATTGGAGCATTTTATTGTGGTAATAGATTAATTAATTTATTCATTATGATGAACTAGGTTGCAAAATCTATTTTCAAGCTATTAATTTAAATAATTAGGGTATAAATAACTTTTCAAATATTAATTTAAATTTTTTGAATAATCAATTCAATTATTTAGATAATTAAAAAAAAGGTAAATGTTTAGAATTTAAATAGTATTTATACAATTTCAACTTGAACTTATTTTTACATAAAATTTTATGGTTATGTATTTAATTCGTATTTTCAACTATTTAAATTTAAATTTATACACGGATGAACATATTTAAATATAAATAAATATTTATAGTCTTTCAATTTTTGGAATAATCAATTTAATAAATTACTTAAAGAAATTCACTTGTAAATTTTATTGACCTTAATTTATGAAATTTTTAACATATGGTTATTAATTAAATCATTTTAAAATGAATTCCATATTAGAAAATAATTCAAGTCTAAATTCATAATTTTTGTAAACATCACATTAAGTAATACATTAATACATTTACATAATTAAAATTGTATAAATAACCAGTAAAAAAAGAAGAACTTACTTCTTTCTAGAAGGAGTAAAAAAAAAATTACAGTGTAGGATTTACAAAAATTAAGTTCCTTGTTTTTTTGCACCAAGTGACAAATGGTGTGTGTGCGTTGTAATATTTGGATCTTGTGGGTTCGGTGCATTTGTCTCTTTCTTTACTTTTATATATATATATATATATATATATATATATATATATATATTATATATATCTCACGTATCTATGTGGATTCTTCTTACCCTTCAAAATTTATGTCACACATTTCTTCCGTTTTCACATCTCCTCTTCCCATTTTAGACCCTATTTAATTCCTCCTCTCCATTTTTAGACCCTAATTAATTTTATATTACCAAAAATATTTTAATTTATATGGGTAAAAATAAATTCATGATCTTCTTTTTTTTGTCAGTTTGTTAATACTTTACAAAATATATATATATATATATATAAACAGTAAGCTCCAGCCAATTTGACTAGTAAAATTAAATTTGTATCTATCGGTGTATTTATAATGAATATAAGTTATTTTAATATGATCAACGAGAGAATTTTGAATTATTATTATTATTTTTTGATTTGTTTGCAATGTATTAAGTTTAACCCAAATTTTAATTTTGTAAAATGAGAAATGGAATAGAATATAATTATTATTATTTAGAGAAGAATAGAATATAATATAGTTATTAGAAGAAGAAAAAAATTGAATGAATTAAAAAAATTTCATGTAAGGAAGTTAAAAAACTATATATATATATTTTTTTAATGAATTAAAGGGTAAGGAGGTACAAACAATTGTATATTTAATATATTATATAGTTTACTAGCTTATATTATTTTAAAGAAACAAACTCAAATAAATAAAAAGGTAACGCAGGGGCGGTTTCGGTGAGAAATCCAGAGTCATAGTTTTGACTTTGAAGTTGGCAGTCCAAACGAAACTCCAATTTTGCTCATCATCATTTACTATCATCTTAACCAGGAAACAAGAAGACAAGGATATTTATACATACACAATTAAAACCATTATTATATAATACATACACATATACATACACATACCATCTCACTTAAAATTTAAATATATCACGTTTTTTTTTTTTTTTTTGGGTTCTAGAATAAGCGGCTTATAAACTTATCTTATAAACCAAAAATAAGCTTCTAAAAGATTTAATCACTTTTTTTTTTTTTGCCTCATAAACTATGCTAAGAAAATAAAGTTTTTCTTCTATAATTTTGAACTAAATATCTATATTTCAAGTTATAAATTGTTATAATATACATATAAATTATAATAATATATAAACTGTTAGTATAGTAATATATATATATATATAAATTGTTAATTTTTTTAAAAAAAAATTTGAATTTATTCTTGTTTCTATAGGATAAACTAATTTCTTTCTACAATCATTCCAACAACGAAATAATTTTGCAATTAGATCTCCTACATAAAATAAGAAATTTTAATGTTAATTTTCGTATATTTTAACTTGAAAACTATGAATTGTAAATCTTGAAGTTGATTTGAGATGGATAAATGATCTAACATTTTAAAACCAAAAATAAGTCATGACTTCAAATTTTACCCACAGCTTATTTTGTAGTGATGTGTTTATGTCTTAACATTTTGCTTTAGGATGCTCCTCAAGAGATATAAGTATGGACTTACTCACGAAGTGGGAGAATCATGGGACTATCTTGAAAATTATTAAGTACCTTTTCTTTGTAAGATTTTAGTGATAAAATAAAATGCATAATCTAACAATTTGTTTAAAGTGAGTATAATTAATTATGTTGCGTATTTATGTGATTGATTTATTACATCTACTATTTCCATATAATCTTTTAATCTTTCTCTTATTTTCTTATGAAATAATTGATTGTAGACAATCATCTCAAAATTTTATCCGTCTTATCTGATTCCGATCATGTTAATAATGTATATAATAAAGAATTCATCCAATAAATGAAAAAAAAAAATTGGTACTTTGTCTTTTAAAAAAGGAATTGGTAATTAGCAGTATAGAAAATTTATTAATTAAATAGGTTACTTAGAAAGATTCAAAATAACAAAAAATCGATAGTGCCCACAGCTCTAAAACTTTGCAAAATGATTTTAAACCTAAAAAGGAGAAT